TTTTTTTATTTATTTATTTATTTTACTTTATTTTATTTTTTTAATATTGTTTAAAATTCCTTTATTATTTTACATGAAAACTTTCGTAAAGTTCCTCTCCGTTTATTAAATATTTTGCCTTTTTCATTCGCCTCATAACTTTGGATAAAACTGCATTCGTAATCCCCAATGGACAAGGCAATAAAAATCAGCTATTCACAGGTCATGAGCCACCTGAGAGAACAAAGAGAGGAGCTATCGATTTATGTGCTTAAACCCCGACACACATTCCATCCACATCCGTAAGCCACAGTCATAGCCATATATATATATTGGACATTAAGTGACCTTTCGAGCGCGTTTTAAAGTGTTTGCCTTAGACGACTTAACCTTGACGCTGATCCGGAATGTATACATATATATATACACAAACATAACTACGTATATGTCAGTCACATTTATCTTTCATTTCGCAAGAGGCCATCAATAGAGCAGTCGCGCGTTTCGATTTGCTTTACGCTTCGAGTAGCCTCCTCAGCCCAGCTGTGGGCGAGTGGGCGTGGCTGTCAGCTAGATGAATGTAGATAGACATCCCTATTAAGTGCGTGTGTGAGCGCTGTTGACAAGTGCGAGGCGACGTTGTGACCAAGGCTCAGATAAATCAAAACTAATTTCATTTGCTGTCGCATATGGCGTATGCGTGATATTTATTAAACGTGGATACCAGAAGAGAGAGAGAGTGAGAGAGAGAAGTAGAGAGTGCACAAATCACATGCTTAATTGCTGCCAGTTGTACCACAGTCGATACACCATAAAGTAGACCAGCTCCACGCCGCTAATGAAGGAGCAGCCAATGCAAACGCTCAACACGCCCCCGACGTTAGCTAAACGGAATTTCGTATTCAATTAGCTGATGGATGCTAGGGCAGCGGCTCGATGGCAACTCACACAGCAGCTGGTACCACTTGTAGAGTCCGTCCTGCTGATAAACTGGCACACGTTGTCCATCATAGCTAATGCTCACTTTACTCTCCAATGGGTCCACGTAGCCGGTCAAACTCTTGCGCAGCTCGTAGCGCCAATCATTGCAAGCGGGCAGGCATTCCGCACAGCTCCAAGGCGACCAGCTGGCTGTTAGAGGGAGAGAGGAGAGAGCTGAGGCTATGATGAAGGCTCAAGGCTCTTGAGAGCTGCCAGATATTTGACATTTGTACCTAATTAAGCAGGCAAAGCCCCTAATTGACTCACAAAATTTGTGTCTGTGTATAGAGCTGCTTACAGTTATCCGCACTGTTATACAGCATGTATTATTTTAATTATGTTAATTTCAAAATGTTGCAACCAACTTGGGTGGATTTTCTACTTATATGCTAAGGTACAGTTTAATTTGACATTGCTACGATTTTGGACTACATCATAAAAAATTCAGTTACAATGAAAATGGGTTCAGGGTATAAAAATTAGAGTCTAGGTAAATGTTATTTATTTTTGGCACATGGCAAATGCCATACTAAATTTTAAAATTTGAAGGTCCAATAGACTTCTGAACTACATTTCTAGCTATAAATAGATTATCTGATGCCACTTGCCTCTCTCTATTACTAAGTTTAGCAAGATATCAAGAGTTTTGGTACATGACAGAGACTTAAGTACATGGCAAAAATTCAGTCTTCAGCTGTTGCTTGGGAGTATCACTAAATTCGATGGGGAATTCAGAATTTCGGTATATGATTTTGGTACATTATCTTTTCTCTTCTTATGAAGCATCTTCTGATTATATAAAATAGTTTTTGTTAACATTAGACTTGAGATCTAATGAATCAGAAAGCATTGGATATAAGGTATGTCTTGTTTCCATGCAATATATTGTTTCCTAATATTTCTAACACACTTTTAAATTGATATTTCATGTAATTAGTCGATCATAAATATTTTCTATAATATATATACTATACTATACTACTATATACTTTAAACTATACTATATTATATACTATACTTTTTCAATGTCTGCCCAGATATTGTGCCTGGTAAAGGCTGGCAAAGACAAAACAAAAACCTTAAATAGACAGAAAAAAACACCATATGCCAGCTACTATCTACGCTGTTTGTGGCCAACAAAAGAATGGAAGTAGCTGTAGTTAGGCTCAACTGCTAACTAGTCTCTCTCTCTCTACATACCTAATTAAGAACTACTCCTCAGCCAACGCCAGCCATCTCTGAGCCTCTACCTCACCAACAACTCAACACATGGCCAGCCACATCCAACTACAATGCCCACATTAAAGACTTTCGTTCATTGCCATAATAAAACCTTTCTTATTGACCATAAACCCAGTCTGGTGCTATAATGTTAGCTCTCTGTTAAGATCCTTTATGACTGCTTACCCTCCACCGACTGCAGGCAGGCCGTGTGTGCCAAATTACAGTAGCTCACGTTCTCCAGCTGACCATCGGCCGAGGACAGGTCGTAGACAAACGGCGCGCAGTTGCAGGCAGCAACGGTGCTGCGTAGGCGACACTGGGGCAAGCACTGCACCAGATGCTCGGCTTCCTCGGGAAAATGACAGCCACGCTGGGTCAAGGGATAATCACGTAGTTGGGGATCGGCTTTCAAATGGAGCGGACGTAAATGCAGAGCTGAGGCTTCGCCAGGTGCGAGAGTGGCTCGGCCCAGCCAGCCAGGCAGATGCAGGCTGAAGGCAGAGCTGAAGCCAGGACGCGGCATATGGAAATCATCAGCATGGGAGGCATTCAGACGCAGCCTCAGAGCATTTGAGATGCGGTCTGTGCGCTGCAGGACACAGCAGCTGCCCTCAAGGCTGGGCGTTAGCCGAAAGAGCTCGGAGCAATTGCTGGCAACTCCATCCACGTGGCAGCTGAGCAGCAAACTCTCGCAGCTGGGCGAGAAGTGCAGCAGCTGCCTGCGCACATCCAGAGGCCAGAGAGCAGCCAAGGCAGCCTGCAGCTCAGCCGCTGCCGTAGCTGAAACGGCCAAAGGATAAAAGTAGCCAGCGAGCAGCTGCAGCTGTTTAAGCCAATCCGCTCTAGACTTTCCGTTAGTCAACGCCAGCTGCTCGGCAAATGCCTCCAGGCGCTGGCGACTCAGCTTGTTCGCACTGCAAATGCTTAGAGCAGGAAACGGCAACGACTCCACGGACTCGAAGCTCGCCTCGGACAAGGACGTCACTGTGGGCCTGGCCAAGAACTGCAGCAGCGTCGTACAGACCACAAATGTGGCCCCCGAGATGCCCGTGGCTATGAAAAGGAACCAGAAGATGCGCTGATACGGCCGCCGACGAATAAAGTAGAGCAAGCCGAAGCCATTCAGGCTCGTCTTCTTGAAGAACTCGACGAGCGTCTTGCGGAAAGCCCTCTTCAGCCGAGACATTTCAATGGAACTGAAGCCACATCCTGGCCAACGACTGTCACTCGAAACTCATTCAACTAGGCTCGCGCTATCTGATGCATAGAACATGGCCGACAATAATTATTCCCCGGATGGGCATATAAATTACTGTAATTATCGCGTGCCACGACAAGTGTCGAGTAATGTAAATATTTTCACATGCCACAGCACATGAAATTATAATTGTATCCACAGAACGAAGGCGATTTTATGTTAAGCGTGCAGAGCATCGACAGACTTCCACTACTTACATCAAATATGTATATTCAGTCAATTTCAGTCAACCTTATGTCAAATTCTTACATTTTTTATAAACGCCACTAAAAATATTCCCTTTATGCTGCTATCAGTAAATTGATTTTA